TTGCCGGTGAGGTAGTCACTGTAGCCGTTTGCCGAGAGATTTTGAAGGATTTGAATCCTCCAAATGGCATAATTCTCGGTGGTGAGATGATGGGGTATGAGATTCTTGAAGTTTGAAATGATAAATTTGAGAGACGCCGGAAGAACGAGATCCATAGAAACGGTGGTGGCGGTCATGGTGGAGGAGGCTGGTGGGAGGGTAGAATCGTGTTCTTGATCTCCCATAAATGGCTCAAGATACCATGAAAGAAGTTGAAAGCAGGAGAAAGAGAGACAGAGACCGAAACGAAGAGAAAGAGAAATGTATTATTTAGCTTAAACATTACAAGATACAGAAGAGATATATATAACTACAGACAGGTTTTAGAAGTAAATAATAGCGGTACAGGTTAAGAATATAAGACACTACTTCTATCACTACCACCACTAGCTATTGATCACAACTGCTCGAAGCCATCAACAATTTGTACAATACATAATAAAAAAAAACATTTAGGCTTCGTTTGAAACTACTTTCTTGTTGCTCCTTAAAGCAGCTTTCTAGTATAAAAATTTTAATTTTTGTACTAAAAAGCTGCTTTAAGAAGCAACAAAAAGTCGTCCCAAATAAAACCTTAGATTTCATTTGGGACGATTTTCTTACTCCTTAAAAAAGTTTTCTAGTACAAAAATAAAAATTTTTGTATTAGAAAATTGTTTTAAGAAGCAGTCAGAAAATTGTCCCAAACGAAATCTTAGTTATCATATGAAACATATTTGATATTCTTATTTTTAACTAAAACAAAAAACATAAACAAAACAAAACAAAACAGCCCCTCGGTTCAATTCCTAGAAATTAAAAATGGAAAAACTTATTACTAGGAGAAACAACAAAGGCCATTTCATTGAATTTTATGGAAAATTATCCTTAAAAAGCTGATAAATCTAGCTAAAACAATAAAGAAATGTGGATCAAAATGATCCTCAAACTCTCTATATATGACCAGAATAATTTTGAATATTTAAAAATCTCATTTTAGTCCCTTGGTTTTTAAATAGGGACATAAATGATCCCACGAAATGATTAATTTGATCCATATTTAAAGAGTCAAAAGATCAAATTGATACATTTACAAAACCGGCGACCATTTTATTCCTTCAGAAAAAAATTAGGAGACCGATTCGATCATTTTCTCAACTCATTTGTTGCAAAAAATACAACCAAACAACCCATTTAAATAACACTACAAAATTTAGATGTTGAGCAACCTTACTGAACTTGATATGCAAAACAATTAAACTACATAGATTTTGATATTTTTTAAAGGAAAACAAGCAGTCGCACACTTCTTTCATTAAATGCCACATGCCAATACTCCTTGAGTCAACTCAGACCATTTCTCCATACATATTACACCAGCATGTGGCTTTTAAAAAGGATTTGGTAGAGATATTGGTACAAACTCCATATTACAGTGTGAATGCGAATTGATAGAAATAGATAGAAGCTCAGTTATAGACTGTATTCAATTGTTTTCGTTGAGTAGGTGTGCAATAACTTCGAATGTTGGGAGCTGCAGCTCAACTATACACAAAAGACAAATATGGCCCCCATGTCAATTATAGCTCTCCCTGACCAGAAAACAAAGAAGAAAAATAAGAGAATAAAATTTTGTTTGGGATGAATTTCTTACTGCTTCATAAAGTAGCTTTTTCATTTTGTTTGAGGTTGATGGTTTCTCATAAATCTTAGTTAGTGCGGCTATGAGATTGATTGTAGTCTTCTCATTTACAATATTGAATGCAACGTATGAGAAAAGTGAAAGTCGTATTTAGATCTAGTGTAATCCGATCAAGAACCTCTCACTCCTCCATAGTCATAGAATTCGGCTTCTTGGTGATTCCTTCCAATGGTAAATACAACTTCTTCTGATACAACAAATCTTCAATTTGCATCAGAGCCCTACATGGGGTCATGGTTGGATAGCCATTGGGTACCCACGCTCTGCGTTGGCGGGCTTTGCCCACCCACGCCCACCTATGGTGACTTTCCACGCTTCTTGAATGCAGTATGCAACAATGTGTAGTAAGGATTACTGTAATATATTGCATGCATATGGTGTTTAGTAATGTAAATCGGTTTGTCCCTTGATGTTGAGTACCCACCCACGAGGCCATGGGCATACCCATACATGGGTGGGTGTGAGTATGGGTACCCAATGCAGGGCTCTGATTTGCATCCTTCAGAATGCGAAGTTCGAACCATTGAACTTATCAATCTTGTACATTGTTTCGTCAGCCATTACTCCCACTCAAACTGAATATCATGCTCTGATACCAATTGTTGGTGATGAAAGTAAAAACAACAACAAAACAAACAAAAAATAGAAAAGATGCGGAAATAAAAAGACACCGGGATTTAACGTGAAAAATTTTGAAATCGAAAAAAATGACGAAGCCACATCACACGAAGAAATCCACTATAAAAATGGGGGTAAATAAGTACAAATCTCTCTTCTCTCTCTCTCTCCTTGCTTCTCTTCACTCCATTCTCACACAAGAAACATAAGAGAAAAGCAATAACCATACACCAAGAAATGCCACTCTTAAGAAAAAATGAGAAAGAAAATTGTACAGTCCGCCTTGAAGAGTCGTGGCGCTCAAACCTCTAATCGCAATCCGTCTGACGATATTGTGGCACTCAAACCCGCAGCGCTACGGTGCCACTCTTCTCTCTCTCTCTCCTTGCTTCTCGTCACTCCACCATTCTCACACAAGAAACATAAGAGAAAAGCAATAACCATACACCAAGAAATGCCACTCTTAAGAAAAAACGAGAAAGAAAATTGACAGTCCGCCTTGAAGAATCGTGGCGCTCAAACCTCTAATCTCAATCCGTATAACGATGTTGAGGCACTCAAACCCGCAGCGCTACGGTGCCAAACCTAGAGCATTGCAGCGCTCTGCTCTCTGTCATTTTTTCCATGAAACTCTGCAACATCTGGACACTCGAGTACATGGTGTCGGGGAGCTCGACTGCATAGCACCGGGCCGTTGTAGGGAAAAAAAATTAGGCTGCAAAGCACCCAAACCCAAGAAAGGGGAGAACGTCCCACACTCCCCAGTGAGTATGAGAACTTTACTAGAGATTCGAGGCAACGGTACAATCTTATTGATCATGACAATTAAATTTCATACAAAACTAACAACTCCAAGAGCGACTTCCCGTAGGCAAGCTCCCAATGGCAATTTCCATGCTTCTTTATAGCTTTTTCCCTCTGATGCCTTCTCCAATGAGCTAGTGCGACCTCCTCGTTGTTCGTCATCAAGGTTGTCGAGCTTAGGTTGGAGCGGGATGGAGAAAGAACAAGAACAAGAGAGAGAGAAAGAGAGAGAGAGAGAGAGAGGTCTTGAGAGGGAGATAAGGGGGTCAGGGTCTAAGGAGCAACATGGATTCTATGTGGGTTTTTTTAGTTCTTATAATAATAATAATAAATATGTATCAACTAATTTATTTATTTATTTTTAATTATCGTCACTCATGCACATCAAAGTTGCATATCTCGTGTGTGGGCGAACTTTTCTATTTTTCCTCATGCCTATGCAATATGGGTATCTATTTAAATTGTTTCTGCTGTCCCAAATGCGTTGGCATAGTCTATTTCACCAAGGGGCAATTTTAACTTTTGGTCGATGCGTTTTGGACAGCTTTTGTGCAACGTCACTACTTTCCCTCGTATTTTTCGTCGTCTGTTGTTGGGTCAACCTTGGAGTACTTATCGAGGTCAACAAGGTAGCTTAAGCATCCCATTACATTTGCACCTACCTAAATAGTTTGCTCTACAAATGATCTTGAAAGATTTTTTTCAATGGATGGCAAATTACCAGTAAGATGTCGAACAAGCTATCAAGAAGAACAACGAAGGTTAAATTTTTGGGTAACATGTTATGGAAGTGATCAGCACACTATTCAGTATTCACAGTAAGCCTTGTTTATGACAAAGATAAAATGTTTCATTTGAGACAACTTTGTTATTATTTTGTAAAGCAATTTTTTAGTAAAAAATATCTAATTCAATAAATTTTTGAACTAAAAAAATTATTTTAGAAAGCGGTAAAAAAACTGTCTCAAACGAAGCAAAAGTGTGGAAGTGAGATCGAACTTTCATCATTATCAAGTTTCTGAGTTCTACATTGTAGTTAGGATGGATTCTTATTTGTCATTAGTGATAGAGGATTCATGATGCATTGTGATGGAAAGATCTAACTTATAATCTCAGCTTTTTACAGTGCCTGCTTGTAGCTCATGTCAAGCAAAGGCACTGTTGGGGCAGTAGCCACCAAAATTAAAAAGTGCTCAATAGGTCTTGCACATAGTAACTTCTATGTAACTAGAAATAATTGACATAGGAGAGAACATAACAGAAATAAATTAATTCTCTTCCTATTTCTTTCCCATCTATGTTTATATATGTTTCTAATTCCTGCCACGGTCAGGGGCGGATCCAAATCATTTATTTAGGGTGGGCAAATTCTTGCGATTTGCGAAGGCGAAAGCCGGCGACCTCTTGCGATTGCGAAGGCAACCTGATCTTGAGAGTTGCGAATGACGAAACCAGAGGGCTTGGAGCCTTCGACTACAATTCTGCGAATGACGGGAGGTGGGATGGGCAAAATTGGCGCATGATTAATAAATTTAGGGCAAAGAAGTTCTTTGAGCGGGGGCAAAATTTCGAAAAAGCCCTCTCTAATGAATAAATTGTTTTTTTTTTTTTTCAGGTGGGCATTTTCCAACCCTCACTTGATTGTGGATCCGCCTATGGCCACGGTACAAAGTAGTGTAATCTTACACATTCCAAGAATAAGCAAACAAATTGGTGTCAATAAGAAAGCACTTATCCCCCAATGTTCTACTAGAATTTCTCTGCTTTTACTGTTCTAGTGCAAATGTGAGAAGTAAAACATTTCTCTCAAGTATTTGAAGTAACATTAACAAGAAATCAAACATGCCATAAGAATCAGTGAGAAAAAAAATTGAAGTTAAAAGTGCATTAAGTTTGAACAACAGGGTTTAGGAGCATTTCGAAGATTGGAAGCAAGATTGAAAGTGTGAAAAATAAAAATAAAAATTTCTGAATCAAAATTAGTTTAACCAATAAATCAAACACTTCTCAGGGTACTAACTACACAGTAGAGTCAAAAGAATGAAGAATTTGTTCCAAAACCGTTCGAGTATCACTATCCAAGGGGCTCTCTGGCCGATCAGTGTAGGCAATGTTGAGGAGATAAAGTTTATTTGAGGCTACCAAAGCAGCTGAAAAGATCCTTTTCATCCCTCCTCTGGTGCTATCAACTGTGTATTCAAACTCATAAAGAGGTCGTCCACCATGATCTAACCTTTCAGCAACAGTTATCAACTCAGCGTACTTGGTGCTTTCCTACAAAACCAGGAGTTTTAGTACGTACAAGCATTCCGAAGAGGGAGGATCGTGAGAAGCATCTCGTGAAGATAATGTCAAGGGGAAGAATGCTACAAAATTGCTGGATATTGCGTAATAATAATTGTTAGGATAAACATAAATTAAAATAAATAATTTTAGAAAAATATACAAATTTTGAATTATATTCTTCTTCACCAATATTAGCTTTATCAATAGCTATTCAAGGTTGGCTTGATGAGTTCTTGTTTTCCATTTAATCTTATTGAATACTACCTAAAATGTTAAACCTATTCTTTTCAAGTCATTTTGAAAAACTTCCATGGTACTTTATGTCTATCACTTCTCCTTCATAATCCTCCGACAATAATTTTTTCTGTTTGTCCAATGGGTGCATTTTCTAATGATTTGCTATACAAATTCAAGTCACTTAAATCTACTTATATATAGCCGTAGTGGGACAAAGGCTTGACATTGTTGTTGTTGATGTGTTGCTCACTACAAAAACATTTTATATACCAAACATTTATTAATTATAAAATTTTCTATCCTGAATATTTTATCATACATTCTAACTCTTCGCTTGGTTTAGTTCAATTATTTCAAAGGATAACTCATCAATTTAAATTATATAATCAACAAAATGCATAGACAAAAACATCTTCTTTTGAATATCCTTTATAAATATCTCAATAACCAATACAATTATATGGAGTTAATGTTGATACTTAATTGAATCTCTTTGGTCACTTCATAATTATTTTTAATACTGATCAGTGCTTCATCATACATATTTTTAATATCTTTAGGTTGCTTTTTCTTTATTGGGCTTGGCCCATCTCTTCTCATGTTGGTTGGTTGTTAGTTTTCCAAGTTGATTTTGGATTCCCTGCTGTTGGTTCTCCATGCTGAATTTAAATCCCATATTGGTTCGTTGTTGGTTTTCCAAGCAGACTTTTGTTTCACTACTGCTGGTCATTCATTTCCCTCCTTGCTGATTCCAAGAATAGTGTTTTATCTTCTCAAAAACTGGTTTTATTGATTGACTGCAATTGGCTAGTTGGGTGACACATTTACGTGGGCTATTGGGCCTTCTCCTATAAAGTATGATCGATTTGCTATTGGAAGGGGGTTGTTGTTGGTATGGCTTAAAATTGCGCAATATGAGGCTCGCCTTGAGGCCCGCCTTTGCGCAATTCCAGTAAAAAGCGCCTCGATGCTTATGCCTCGAGTTTTTTATATGAGGCTTGCGCCTCAACTTGGTTGACGCCCGCCTCGCCTCACTGGCATGAGGCTTACGCCTCATGCTATATATATTAAATCTTGAAGTAAATGCCCGACATTGGACTCTATAGTAGAGGAGAAAGGGGAGAGAGCAATTCATCATAATGATTATTCAAATGAAGAACCCCTTAGTGATGACAATGTTGATGACTTATGAGTTCTTATGTGATATGTCATTGCTATTTATTTTTGGAAATTGGAATTATATGTTAATGAAAAGAATATTGGGATTTGGGAAAGATAGAATTTTGAGTTGAACTATATTTCATGTTATCTTATTATTGGGATATTTTGATTTCACTTCATATCTTATGCTTTTTTATGTTTTATATTATTCATTCATTAGTATATTAAAAACTTATCATTTTATATTTACGCAATCTTTTGATTTTGAGGCTTACGCCTCAAAATGCCTTGAGGCTTACGCCTCGCCTCATGAATGAGAAACGCCTCAATACCCGAATACGCAATTTTAAACATTGGTTGTTGGTGAAAACAAATCGAAACCTGAGGGTTTTCTTCCTAGATTGAGAGCTATCTTCTTCCTATGTTTATTTCTTATTTTTGGTCTTCAATCTATTTCTTCTCTCCACGGCTGTCATTCCACTTTTATCTTTCTTCTCCAAATATTGCGAGGTAAGATGTTGGTGTGCCCCATTAGTTGTTATTTATCGGAGGAGCCCCAACTTGAGTTGGATCATAATTTCTATGGAAAACCTCTGGTTTGATTTTTCATTTGAGCATCATTCTCCATTTTCGTGATTTGCATGTGAGGTGGCCTTTTTAGGCTGTTCTAAGGGTAGTTAATTTTAAGCTTTAGTTTGTTTCTTTGCAAAATTTTCTAATCATTTACTTATATATGTTTACTATCAAGTTTCATTTTGTTGGTGTTGGTTTATGTTTATTGAATGGAAGTATTTCGTTGCCTTCCTAGTGCTCTCCTATGTGGCTATAGAACTTAGTTTGCATAAAAAACGAGCAAAAAAACAACTGCAACTTCTATTCTCACACTTCAAAAACAATTCATCAACGATTCTTATTTCCCATCATCGGCATATTTCAAGCAAACTGAAGCAAAAAAGAAGCATAAACATATTGTGAAACAAGAAAATAAGTCAAGAAAAAACCTTACGCCTTTCAGCTTGGATAAGCTTCTCAGCAACAAATTCCGGCGTCCCAAATTCCTTGAGAGAAGACAGCCGAACAGGGTTAACCACCACACCAATGTTGTTAGCCCCCTTCCCCTCCTCGAACAGTGCCTTCGCACCCGCCTTCTCCATCTATCAACAGTAAACAATTTACAGATTTGAACAATTATAAAAATAGAAAGGAAGAATCGAAAAGGAATAACCTTTGCCCATGTGGAAGGCTTGAGGAGAGTGAATCCCTCGACCTCGTCGGTGTAGCGCTCTAAAGTAAGAAGCGGAACGGCAGACAAAGATGGTGAGAAAGCGATGGATGCAGGAAAGAGCAACAAGAACGCGAAGCTCCTCCTGCTGATTCTTATGGAGGCTTTTACCTCTTCCTTGACCGTCGGAGAGTTGCCGTTGAGAAGAATGTGCGGCAGTTTCAGGCGAGGAAGGTGTGAGAAAGAGAAAGGAAGGGGTGCAGAAGTGGAAGCGATTCCGACACTGACAGTGGCTGGAGCCTTCGAGGGCAGCCAATCCATGGCTGCAAGACTTCGTTTTGTCAAAGTTTATGGTGAGCAGGATGGGAAGGATAACAAGGCCTGTTTTGCTGAGTAGGATTTATTAAATTTGTAAATTTTGAGTCTCCTAAATTTGAAAATTATTTGGCATTATAAAAATTAAATTAAATTAAATTTTGACAAGCTATTTTGCTTATTATTTCAGGATATACATCTATTAATTTATTAATGGTTATAATTAATTAATAATTATTATTAAAATTGATTAAAATACTTAAATTTTTAATATTAATATATTTTAAGAGAATATTATATAAATATTTTTCAATGAGCTTGCTAATAAGCTAATGATGTCTCAACACGATCAAATATAACCAACGGAAAGAATATGTCATATCGTGTCGGATCGTGGCATGATAGAAATTCTAAGACTAACACGAGAAAATTGTAGAAACTTCTAATAATTTCCTAATTACATAGCCACTAAACTTTCATTAAACATACAAATACTCATCATCAAAAAAAATTCATTCATTTCTAAAATATTAACAATCAAAATAATTATATACAAAAAGCACATGACGCAAAAGATGCAGAACAGAGAAAGTCATGGATACCATAATTCAACTAACATACCTATAAAAAACTCTAATCTCGGATCCTACAATATTCACTCTACTTAACCTACCTTTGCCCGTTATAATGACCTGAAAAAGATGTAGAAAGCAAGCATAAAAAACCAATGTTCAACCGGACACATTCAACCTATCCGAGTTTTTAATAGTTAAAACTATCAATAACATAGCACAAAATAGTGTAAATTAATCTATCCAGAGGTCCAACCAAGTTATTCGGGATAAAAATATATATACATAATAGTAAACAATCTCTTTAACATACCAATCATACGAAATATAACAAAAAAATAGTCCACATTCATTTCTTGGACTATAACATTTACCTTAAGCCCGGTACCTCCCAACATATATCAGAATTCGAGTCATTATGATTTTTTGTTCTAGCATATCAAATAACAAATCCTTATAACTCTCAATATTTAGCACTAAAGATATTTAAAGATTTCAGACCCTTATAAATCCCAACAAAAAACAGGTTAGAATCTCTACCAATCATCCTAATGATTTATATGAAAAATCTATGAAATTTATTTTTGTATGGTTGAATCAAAACGAGATACAAATAGAGGGTTCAAAGAAATAGGTTTGAATAAGGTTTGGGAAATGGTTGAAAGGGTTCAACCAATTTTTGAACTGGCTAAACTTGGTTTGAACTTGTTCAAATAGTGTTTTGAACATTTTGATTTTAATTTGAATATGTTTGTAAATACTCTAATAAAGCTTGGCAATTATTTGAACGTAGTTTTAACCTTATTGGATCCAAAAAAATTACCCTACTTGTCTTTACTTTTATAGCATTTCATCTCTATGTGAATCAAGTATCAATATTTTGAAAATGGTTGAATAGGTTTGAACAAGGTACAAACCTAATTTTAAACAAGTTCAAAACTTGTTTGAATTAGGTTCAAACCTAAATCCTAAACCGGGCTCGAACATATCAAAAGATATTCAAACTTTGTTCAATTAGTTTGCATGAAGTTTTGACAGATCTGAATGAGATTTGAACCATAGTCGAGCCCAAGCTAATAAGATTTGAACCTGATTGGATTAGGTTAGAACTTGATACAAGAGAGAATTGTTACACCAAAAGCATTAATTATAATATAAGATCAATTGAGCATAAATAAGAGCAAACATAACATGCAATGTAACTGTCATATCCCAGGTTCGGAAGACAGTATACCCCCACAACACATGAAATAATTAAGGAAATTAAAATATGTTTTGTATTCACAAGAAAGAATTTATATATAGATAATACAAATGTAGCTTATAAGAGAAAATAATGAAAAGTAAATTAACATTTCATTTCATTATTATAAATTATAATGAACACTACAGGAAAAATGCTGAAAACCGGCGGTTTTTTCCGGCGGTTAGTGTAGATTTACAACGGTGTATCGTAGCTAAGCCGCTGATTTGACCGTCAATACAGTCCGACGGCTTAACCGCCGGCGGAGCCGTCGGTAATACCGACGGTCTATAAACCGCCGGTGAAAACCGCCGGTATTTGCCATTTTTCCTGTAGTGGAAAGTACATCAATGAAATAAAAACAACAATAGATGAAAAGAAAACTAAAAGAAATAACTATATAAATAAAATTACTCTAAACTTAAAAGTAATAAGAATAGGCTACTAAAAAACTTAAAATTCCAAATGAGATACTACTATTGATAAGTCTACTCCTTTGGTGGAACTTTTATTTGATCCGGTGAACATATGTAGAGCTACGTTCGGCCGGCACTGAGATCGCGCCACGTAGTAGGCACAAAACGAGAAATACCGAGCAAATACCGAGCATGCAATACCAACAATAACGATAAATATCATTATGTGAAGACAAAATACCGAGCAATACCGAGTAATACCAAAAAATACCGAGTTTTTTTCTCGGTATTGATCTTCACATAGCGGCATTTCTCGTTATTGTCAAGCAATACCTAGCAATACCGAGCAAATACCGAGAAAAAAACCGAGTAACTCAGTGATGACCAAACGTAGAGCTACGTCCAGTCAAAGGACCTAATAAAAGTTCCCTTTGGTGAGGATCTACCAAGCACTCTTGTAGAACTTGTTATGAGAAAGGTTATAACAAGTGATATTGATAATTCAAACTTATCTAGTAACTCATATCTATTAAAGTAGAAACATCAAGACACCGAGACACTCATCATGAACAACACAAAGAGCACAAATAACTATATAATAGTAGGCACTAAGTGTCATCCTATAATATGATTACAATTAAATTTAATGTATAAATGAAGCATATATACCATTTGTCCATAATCATTTTAGTCTAATTAATCACACCATGCCATTAAACATATAAACCAAAAAATAATTTATAAATTTCTCCAACTGTACATATTATCCTAAAACACTACAGAAATTGCTTGTAACTAATAGAACACGCCTTAATTTAACTTAACAAGAACAATACACATAAAAAAATAAATAAATTTATCACAAATTGAAGATGATGATTCTCCTCACGCCAACTTATGCTAAGACGATGAAATAAGCAAATTTCAAAATATAGGTAAAATTAATTAAACTACATTTTTTTCCCTTATTTTTTCTTTTCTTCTTTTTTCCGTTTTTTTATTTTTTTCAGTTTTCTTTTTTTATTTTACTATTTAATAAATATACATAAATTTTAATTAAACTATTTATTTATACATGATATTTGTTGCGTCCTGGAGTATTCACGGCGGTAGAGAAATATATAGTTTAACGTCTTAGCATTGTACGAATATCCAGCACACAAGCAGATTAAATAGAGGGTGTAGCGTTCATAAGAGACACCAGAGTTTTTACGTGAAAACTCCTGAAAATGGAGAAAAAATCACGGGGCCTGACCCAGCTTGAATGAATCCACTAGTATTTGTAGTTGATTACAAATGAGGCCCTTAATTGGGAGAAGGCCTTGGCTTGATGTCACAAATGTACATCATATAAGCGCATTACATTGTCGGAGTTACAATAATCAACATAAATATGTTTGTTTGGTTTGAAGGGCCATAGTCGGCAAGAGACAGGGGTCCGAAAGACCGTAGTTGGCAGAAGACCGGGGTCAAAAAGGTCGTTGTCTGGCGATGTAGGTCGGAAGGACCGTATTATGTAGGAGACCGAGGATAGAGAGACTGTTGTCTGGCTATGTAGGTCAGAAGGACCGTAGAAGGACCGTAGTAGACGACGGAGGTCAGAAGGACCATAGGCGGCACGAAATAGGGATCAGAAAGGCTATTTTCTGGCGATATAGGTTGGAAGGACCATAGTAGGCGAAGGAGGTCAGAAGGACCGTTGTAGTAGTGCAGTACTCTGGTAGAACTCTGGGCATCAGGTGGTGGCCTAATAGAAGTTCAGGCCTCAAGTGGTGGTCCGACAGAAGTCTAGGCCTCAAATGGTGGTCTGACGGAGCAACGAAGCCAGACAGTGGTCCGACGGAGGTGAGGGCTTCAAGTGATGGTCCGGCAGAGCAACGACGACGTTAGGCGGTGGCCCAACGGAGCAATGAAGTTAGGTGGTGGTCCGGCGGAGGTGAGGGCATCAAGTGGTAGTCCAACGGAGCAATGACGTCAGACGCTGGTCCGGTGGAACTCAGGCCCTTAAGTGATGGTCCGACGGAACTCCGACGTCAGGCGGTAGTTTGGCGGATCGAGGAGAGGGCCTCAAGTAGTTGTCCGACATATGTGAGGGCCTCAAGTGGGTGTCCGGCGGAGCAACGACATCAGACTGCGGTCCGATGGAGGTGAGGGCCTCAAGTGGTGGTCCAGCGGAAGTCTAGCGGTGGTCGAGGAGGAGCTTCTTCCTTCTCTTCCTTCTTCTTTTCTTGCTTCGGTCCCCTGTTTTAAGAGAAGTGAGAGGTCTATTGAAGTGAGAGATCTAAAGATTTCTAGAGTGGCATGACCAGTAAATATGTGAGAGATTAAGGGAAAATGGGGAGTGGTTGGATGAATGGCCGATATTGAATCCTTTGATCGCGAACCGTTCGTCATACATTTGAAGGTTTTGTTAGAATTCAACGATATTGGGCTCGTTGGATTTGTCTTGTCGAGCCACTCAATTCGACTATAAGCAAGTCATGTTTGGAAACCGTTTGGTAACCCAAATTGCGGTTCGAACCTTTCAATAGCGCTTCGGGTCCTTGATTTGAACTTATTTGGGCTCGGATTCAGTCGAATTTGGTGTCATTGGGTTTGTATTTCCGAGACGTTTAGTTTGACTTTAAGTTTGCTGAAATCGAAGTTAAGATGGTTCTAATTTTAATTTTGGAAGTTTATAACTTGATTTTGTCTCGAGATTTGTGCCCGATCAAGATAATTTTTTGAAGACATCAATACTATAAATAGAAGAAAACTAAAAAAAATAAAAGAAAAAAAAAAGTCTGCTGCTAGCAACTTGATATAAAAAAAAATTATAGACTTTTCATGTTGCTTA